TCTTAGCGGGTACGTAAATAAGCAAAATTTACGCTTCTGGGGCACTGAAAATCCGCGTGTAACCCACGAAGAGCCATTACACCCGCTCAAAGTCACTGTATGGTGTGCTGTTTTCGCTGGAGGAGTCATCGGACCTTTTTTCTTCGAAGACGTCGCGGGCCAAACGGTTACTGTGAATGGTGAGCGCTACAGAGCAATGATCAACGAGTTCTTTTTGCCGCAACTTGATGAATTGGGATTGGAAAACATGTGGTTCCAACAGGACGGTGCAACGGCACACACTGCACGTGCCACAACCGATATGCTGAAGGATGCATTTCCCGGGCGCCTAATCTCCCGTTTTGGCGATTTGCACTGGCCAGCAAGATCGCCTGATTTGACCGCTCCAGACTTCTTTTTGTGGGGATTTTTGAATTCGCGGGTTTATGTCAACAAGCCTCAGACTCTTGCAGCTCTTAAAGACAATATATGTCAAGAATGTGAGGACCTATCGCCGGAAGTTTTGGCCAAAGTGATGGAAAATGCCATAAAAAGGGCTCAAATGGCAATCAACTGTGGCGGCGGCCATTTACATGACATCATATTCTCGACTTGATGTAAAAAAAATTAAAAGACCAAATAAAAATAATCCACAAGAAGAATCAAAGTTTTTCATTTTTTTTTTTAATTACAGCCAAAAAACATCGCAAGGTTACTTTTGCGCCACCAATGGTTTCAAGTTCTCTTAAACATTTATTTAAGCTTTTTTTTATAAATATACAATAATACGACACTGTTGTGAATCCCTCACATGATTCACCGGCCCTTTTGTTTATTGTCTTTATTTATCAATCATCAACATGCTAAATTCTAAGCGGGTATTGCTCAAATCGATTGGTAACAAAAAACCAATTCGCATTTCTTATGGGCTTGCAACAACGCCTTTTGGTGATATAGTTTTGGGGTTTCTAAAGGACTCAGGCGGCGATGCAATTTGCTACCTATACTTTGCGGAAATTTCATCTGGACATAAAGGCAAAGAAAATAAAATTAGTAATTATGGAATAGCACTTCAGGAACGTTGGCCAAAAGCATTACTTTCAGAAGACATAACTCACGCGCAAAACCTAGCCGATAAAATATTCAATGATGAAGAAACTATCCTAAATGTGGTGATGGATGGCACCCCCTTTCAAGAGAGGGTATGGGAAGAATTACTGAAAATACCTTCCGGTCAAACATGTACATACGGAGACATCGCTGAGCGCATCGGAAAACCAAAAGCTGTGCGCGCGGTGGGTACTGCTGTAGGCAGTAATGAAGTATCTATAGTTATACCTTGTCACCGCGTAGTGTCGAAGAATGGTGATATTAAGTATGGAGGTGGCAGAGAACGAAAAATTCGTTTGTTAAAATACGAAAGTGGAAAGTAGTTTTCTATTCCATTAAAAACAAATCAGTATTTTTCGTTTAATAAAATCTTTGGAAACGTTGTTGAAGATATGGAGGCTTGGGTCAGTGTTTTCAGCTTTTTTTTTCTTTCAGATATAGATAAATCGGTAACTAAATAATCACGGTTATCACTGAATCCATCGTAGTTCTATTTTTCTTGAAATCTACGAAAATGCCTATCACTGAATTCGAATAGCTATGAACGAACATATAGTAGATTTCACGAAAATCTGGCTGCGATATTCAGCGATAGCCCAGAATATCTTCAATAGACAAATAGATGTGGAACCATCAACCCTATTGCGAGTGTCGAGTAGTAGTAGATAAACGACAACTATTTGCTTGTATAAGGATGAGCGACCAAAAACTATTCACACTCACTTATTGAACGAGAAATCGACATTCAAAATACCATGAAAAGGCGATAATCCGACTAATAGTCGGTCATGATTTTTGTTCTGACGTTTGCAAGCATTTTAAAATCATATACAATTGAAAATAAATATAATTACAATTGGCCCACGTCACACTTCCTCTCAATGGTTTTAGCGTCCCTGCAAACCAAAGAAATCTTTAGGAGTATCTCATTTCTGTAACGATTTTTTTTTACGAACACTTATAGAAATTTGTATGAAGTGGTTGAACCCGTAAGGAAATTTCTGTACGAAAAATAAAGAAAATTCTGAAAAAATTCTGCAAGAAATTCTTCAGACAGCAGTATTATTTTCATTGCTTTACCGATTTTCTTCCGAAATTTCGTAAAAGAGTCGAAGTGTACACGGTTTATTTCATTTTAGAAAATTCGGCAAAAAATCGGGTGAGATCTTTATACATATACATATGTATATGTATATGGCAACATTCATGTAATAGCGGCTGATGCAGCTAAATTTTATTTATTTTTTGCTTCCTATTTTTAATATCTGTATAACCAAGTTTAGCTATACATTTCGAGTCTTTATTGTTTCTATATTGGCACAAAGTGCTGGCTCATAACTTGGATCATATATTAATCCTTAAAGATTCATACAAGTCAAATATTTGCTTGTTTTTAAAGCTCATATTTATTACCCACCTAGGACTCCTTTCGGAATCTGAGCGCTCTCAATATGTTTGTGGGGTATGATTGAGCTTTTTCTGAGTGTATTTCCGGGGCTAAGACTCAATCCATCTTACTACATTCAATGAACCCGAATTGCTACGAACGTATGCATTAAAATTGTATGCTACGTTCGTAACTAATCCTGATTAATATGGAATTAGAGAAGCCGTCATAAGGTGTATTAGTGGTAAAATAAGTCTTCTAAAGCCAACCATAAGGTATAAATGAATTCAAATCATAATACGTTATTTCTCTTTTGTTATTTATCAAGTTTTTCATAATGCGAATGAAAGACAATATTCTTATTTAAACATTTTATTCCATGTAAATGCATTTCGTCGCATGGGTAAAAGATTGTCGTAAGCGCAATTTTGACGATTTTTAGTTATAGATGCAGTTATATATTTTGAAATAAGGCCTTTCGATTGGTGTTATCAGTTTTTAGATATCTCCTCTAGTTTCCGAGATATTGACTACAATTACTTCGATAATTTAGTTAAAATTTAGTTAGTGATGCAGTCATATTAAACTAATCAATATCTTGAAAATGGCGTTCTCCATTTTTGGATATCTTCTTTAGTTTCCGAGATTGAGTAAAAAGTGTCGTTAATTTAGTAGACATTTTGATCACATTTTGTCGTATTTCAAACAATGTGGCTGTTAAATTGTGGGCAAATGACGCTTACGACAAAATTTTACTAAAGAAAATCCTTCATAAACTCAAAACGAATTAACAATAAACATTAAAAACTAAATAATTTAAGAATTTTGTGAACTAGTAACATTTTCAGAAACTTTGGAGAAAATCTATCTTCGCATTTTTGAAAAATTTCATTCCAAACTTCAATCGCGATTTCCCACAACCTGCGAAATTAACATACGACAATCTTTGACCCTGGCGACGAAATGGAAAATATATTTATGCATATATGTATTGTATGTATTTAATATGACGATGTATGTATATGTATTACTTGTTCAAATTATAGAAAACATATTCATAAAGTGTTGTGCGATAAAAAAATACAAAGTTTTTTATATTAAATTCCATTGCGATGTTCGAGAGACATAATTATATGACACAATTTTACTCTAATCCGCCAACGAGATGTTTTAGTTGGTATGGGTTGATTTACGCAAACTTTTTTACCGGTACAGAAAAATTAAGTTCAGCTAATTTAGAAGTTATTTTTTTATCGCACATCACAGTATTACATATGTATACACTTGAATCAACAGTAATCCATCCTAAGATAAAAATGACTCAATTTGATTGGTTGCAAGTCTATCGAGCGTAAACTCGCTAGCAATCTAAACATATATGTAGTACTTAAAAATATGAAATTAATTAACCTTAAATTGTGTTTTACTTCTTTTCCCTCCCTGTTCTAATCGATACAAACCAATTACAAATTAACTCAATAGCTGGCTGCCTAGCTAAATATATTGTGTTTATCATTTTACGATTATTATATTTAAGGCTGATTAAATATTGCTTAAACCTAGCCTGAGACTAAATTAACTATCCATTAACCCTGTTACAAGTCGTTGGGAACATGTTTAAGAAACAATATACATAAAATAAAAAATAGTTTTTTATAAACGTTAAATCACAAAATCTATTCCATTAAAGCCATTTTACAAAACTTAACTCAATCATATCGAAAAAGGTTACATACAAATCGAGTTTTTGTTTTCAAAAGCAGTTGACAAAAACTGGACTCGTGTCGTTTTATGTGTAAACCACACATTTATCCCCCCAACGATTTATAACAGCGGCCGTATTAAAAATGAGGCAAAATATTTAACAAAACTAGCAATTTTACGACTACTTTTAGGCTCATTAATCAGTTCTAGTGTTAAAACTGCCGATAAATACATGTGTTTTACGATGCATAAATTATCCAGAGCTTACAATTTATGATAGCGTTCAACATCGGCTGTGCGGAAACTGGTCTTGCAAATACACATTTCGTCCTTCGTCAATTGTACAAGACATGAACGACATACGAGATGCTTACATGTTAATATTTCATATGAGAACTCTTCTGTTTTACAAAGTATACAAGTATCAGGTTTTGTTTCCAGGGGCGTGCAAGTGTAGCGCGTAACATTTCTTAATGCTACTTGTATAGCGTGGTCGATGCCTGTTGCAATTGTGGTGGAAGACGAAGTAGATGACGCTGTTGCTACTCCCACAGAAGATGGTATTGACTTTGTCGAAAAAGATAACGAAGTGCAAGATGATGTTTGTGTTGCTGTGGAAGTGTGTAGTGTTGCTTCTGAGCGATATGCCGTCGAATCGCTAAGTCTAAGCCGTTTCGGTGGAAGTGTTGGCGATGACAATGTCGCTGTTGCCGAAGCTTGCGATGAAGACTTGTAGAATGCCGCTGACAGAGATGAGTAGGTTCCAGCTGTTGAACTGTGGCGTTGACACAAACTTGCAAACTGTGACGCGTGGCGATTTTTGCTACGCCTTACAAAAGAACTTCCTAAAGAACGTGGCACTGTTTTGAAGTGTTCGGAATTTTCCATAAGGAACTTTTCTATGCGAGCTTTAAGAGCGAGGTTAAGGATTGCTTTACGATGAGAGGTAAATTCAAGGCCAGTAAATGGATCCGATGGCAGTCGACCCCACTTGGCCTCCACTTCAGAATGCTTGTCGATAGTTGATTGATCTACAATTTTGCCAGACGGAAGCACGGTAGGAAAAATCTAACAAATACAGCCAAGTTTATTTGTGATAAAATTACGGTTAAAAAAATACTTACCATTAGCTCCCACGTGATTTCATCAAGGAACTCTTCGGGTATTTTCAGAGTGGAATAATCATTTAGCTCCGGTACGCTACGTGAAGGCGAGCGCTGACCCCGACCTTGCTGTGTGCGAAAACCCTGTGGGTTTACAATTTCACTCCAGATGGTTTTAACTAGCTCTCGATCTGCTTTCTCTAACAATCGCGACGGCAGGCCCCATACTTCTATTTTACGCAAAACTGGTGGACTTCGCTTAGTAGCACAAACTATAACTTTGAGACTGCTGGCATTTGAAAGTAAACGATGTGCTGTCTTAAAGAAGAATGCCTTAACGCTTTGTGCTTGATTAGCAGCACTTTCTGCATTGCTACGAGAATTATAATCGCTTTGATAGCAAAAAGTGACCGAGTCCACGCCCTCAGCAAGGTCACGCGCATAAGCAACACGTTCCCAAATGCCCTCGAACTTACCGTGAAGCTCAAAGGCCGTCGACCGTAAAGACCCATTGCTATTCCACAGCTTGATGACCTTCACTTCAACAGCTTTGGGGAAGTCGAAAACAATTTCAACTGGCGGCTTGGTGACGGCATATGCCATGAAACCGCGTGACAGCTGCTCAGCGTCATCCGCAATTAAGTTATTCGCAGAATAACCATCCTCACATAGCGCTTCGCACTCTACAGAGGGCTTAAGCTTCGAATTGAGAAAATTAATCAAGCTCATTTAGCAAAATTTTTAGTCAGTCAAAATGTTTGATCAAGTACGGAGATTTTTCACGTAATTAGCCTTATGAGTTATAAGATGGCGTCTACAACTGTAGTCACCGTGCTATTTCACTTCAATAAACGATTCCTTTTTTCCACAGCTTTTACAATGCGTAATCAATTTTTTTAGTTTCAAAATCAATAAAGGAACGCAAAAGAACACAAATGTTTAGTAAGAAAGAAATAATCCAAACAATTTATGGTACCACACACAGCGTCGTTAAAATTTATGCTGTAAGCAGTTGGTGCTAAACTTAACTCGGCTTGTCAGGTGCTATAATTGGCAGTGTTGGCATTTTTGGTTCAATTGTTCTTTTTTGATACAATTTCGTTCACAATATACTCTCCTACAACGCAGTTCTATTTAGTACAATTTCTGACAAACACTCAAATATTTTATTTTATTAAAACGAGGGATTTTCTTAACCAAAGGTAGGATTATTACCATAATATTAAAATTGCTATTAAAATGTCAAGTTTTAGTCCCGAATCCAAAGAAGAGGCCTCTTTTATTTATTATTAATTGGTTTTAAGAGATTTTTGTTAAGTGTACTCAAAAATATGTACATACATACTTATGTTAAGAGGGGTTTTTTTTTTACAAAATTAGCGTTATTTTCAAAAAAGAAAATGAAATTTATGGGGTTCCTTATATTAATACAGCAATATTTATTACAAATAAAACGGGTTTAAAAATCTTTGTAAATGATAAATTTCATAAAATATTTTGATGTACAAAACATTTAAATCTACGTCGTTATATCTTTATGAACCATGCCTTTATTTCGTAAAAACGACGCAAGTAATAGTTTACGTAGAATATCTTTGTAAAAGTACAAAATATTTAAATAAACATGTAAATTTTCTCATGAATACAACCAAATAATTAGTCTTGAAGGCAATGTATGTATGTACGCAAGTACTATGGAAATATAACTATAAGCCAATTAAAAAGGCGTTACCATTTATGGTTGAAAGGAACGGTTTTTGTATGGATTTCGTTTGCAGAAAATTCAACTTCCCAACACTGTGCTATATTTGGCATATGACAAGTTTATCTACGAAATTCAGAAGCATGGCAAATGGCAGCATTTTCATCCCTAACACCTCGCCTCCACAAAACATAGAAAATGCCAAGGCATGAACCGAAAATACAAGATCACGCGGGCAGTGGAGTAGCCCGTTAGNCGGCGCAACCTTTGTATTCTCTCAATCGTGCGTTAGAATCGCATTTCGGGAAAGTTTAACGATTTTGACATTAGCCGTTTGTTTACATTTCTTCGTTGTTTACAATTTGGTGGTGGCTTTTTACTGCAATTTTCTTCATTTTCGCCTGTGACAACGCGTGTACACATAGGATAAAGCTTGATAATTTATAGAAGAATTTGTACAATAAAAATGACTATTTATGCGTTCAACTATTTCGCAGTTTTCTCCGTTCTCTTCGTTGTTTACTTCTCACAACAAAGATGGCGTCGATTTTTCGGCAGCTAGAAAATAAGTTTTTCGTTTCTTTTCTTCCCGCGTGATCTTTTGTCTTTCCTTCATGTTGCGAAGGCATATCCAGAAAGGCAAAAGCGATTTCGAAAGTTCTCTTCTTTGGACTGCAATTTAGGGTCAGTTTTTCAGTGCGCGGCTGTAGTCTGAACTTCCGAACAAACATTTAGAGTGCAACTCCACAACAAGCTTTTCAGGCGTTCAGCAACCCATCCGCCCTTCTTATATAAA